GTGATAATGAGTATATTCTGTAATGATATGCAATTTCTTATGATAAACCCTAAATATAGTTACGATTTGTGATTTTTGAAACCCTTGTTTTATCTTCTTGTCGATTTAAGCTTCAATGTCTATGATATTTAATAATAAGGTCAATTATTTTCATTTGTTTTAGTTTTAAAAAGATTTATGGATGAAGAGTTTAGATAAAGGTACCAAAGTGAAGCTTAATACTATAATGCTCACAATGTGTTCGACCGAATGTATCAAAAAAACATCTTGGAAATTTTGAATTCATAAATATTTTGTGGTTGTTTTCATTTGTTTATATATGTAATAAGTACTTATGGAGTTACCTATGCCAATGATCATTGTTTTTTTCTTAAATTAACTTGTTAAATAAAATGATAGATACACTCAAAATGTAAACTACCAACAATATTACTGTCAAAATAAAAATAGAATTTGTATCATAACTTTATGTATGATTCAAATCTATGATTATAGGTTTAACAAGTGATGTCTTTGTGTGTGTGTATGTGTGCATCTTTTTTTATTGTGTTTTTTGGCTTTATCAGAGCTAAATATCCATTCATACATATGGTTTAGTTTGGAGAATTATAGGCAATTGGTGTTATAATGCAATCATGGGGTCTCTAGTGCTTGTTGTTTTTCATACTTTCTAACTTGGTACATGCTTGGAGGATTAGAGAATATTTCAGATATACATTTTAAGTGAACTAATTTATAGTGGTTATGTGTTGTTTATCATGTGTGTTGGATTGATATGTTGGCGGGATGTTCGGTAGCTTCATACTGATCTTAGATTCTATGGTGCTTTAAGGAGTATTGAGATGTTCATAATTTTAATTCAAATATCATGTTGTGTTCATGAAAAAGTATATTGGTCATCAATGTTCAAATGTTCAAAATCAAATCTCATCATATTGTTGCCTGAGGTCATCATGTTGACGTTTAACTTTCAAAATCCTTGAATCCGATAATGAAAGTTGTTTTTCGTGGTCATGGTTGTTGGTCTGATGGTCAAAAGCTACATATTGTGGTGAAGCATAACTTCGTAGGTCCAAGTGGTTAGTGTTTTTTTTTTTTTTTTTTGCAGTGGCATGAAGGGTTCAACTTTTCACTTTATAAAACTACTGTTGTTATTGAAAAAATCTTAAAGAATCATTCAACTATACTAGGATGAATGTTTGTGCTATTTGTTATCTGATAGTTCTTAATTTGCTAATAATTTTAGGCTACTCTAGTAAAGGATAGAAATATTAAAATAGTTATATATATTCAATTATTATGATCGATAACTTAAAATTATCCACCTTTATTATGAATTATGATCCATAAGTTAAAATGATACAAGAATTCTTATTCTTTATGTTTTTATAGGACCTCAAGTGGAAAATAGATCTTTTGTTTAAAAATAATGATGTTGATTGTGTGTTATTTTAGATAAGGCCCATGGAATAGAGTGGATAGTGATGATGTTGATATAGAACCCAAGTCTGATTGTCAAGACATAGAATTGATGGTGTTACTTGGTTTTCGTTTCTGCAAATCTACCTTTGTGAAAACTCGGGAGGATTATGATAATTTGATAAGCTACAAGATAAAATAGATTTATGGTGAAACATCTATGCATGAAGTTCAAGTTAGGGTTCAAGAAAACAAACTTTTGTGATTGTTGTTCCATTATGAACTTGGTTAAAAGATTTTTTATTTCAATATCTTCCTTACTTTTCGTTGTTAAGTGCACATTTTTATTGTTTTTATGTTAAGTGGTTAAGAAACAATTATACTTAGTTACGTTTATTTGGTTGTTGTGAACTTCGAGAAGGCACACTTTTAATATTTAGTAATGTATTTTTCTGATATGAAACATATCAGTTGTACAAAATATACTTTATAATTCATGTCATATTTTTATGTCATGGATCACATATTTTGGATCTTATTCTTATTGATCATCTTAATTGTCGATCATGTTAACTAGGTTGAAAATTTGGTTATTAATAACATAATTGTCCATTTTAACGTAATAGTCATTATCTACAAAGTTCATTGGTTCCTATTATTTTTCTTGGATCAAAAATACTTTATGGATCACTTATCTAGATCATGATTCTGTGAATCATGTCATGATCCAAAATATTTTTAGGATATGATCTTAATATGATATGATCATAACTTAAAAAGATGACATGAATTATATTTGCTTGATCTTAAATAAGGTTTTCTGGAACATTGTTCTTTCAAATGTTTAAAACTATGACATGAGATGATCCGTAAGAATAATATCCAAATATTTATGATCCAATCTTACAAATAATGTGATAAAAATAAATACTTATTGTGATCCGACTTAATATGATACAAAGTTATTGTGATCCAAAACATTACAATACTCTAATTTTAAATCTACAAATATGTGATGATATAAAACTCTAAAATAATCCAATTCGAATACTTTACACTCCAAAAAAATTTATCATCCAAAAGTTTTATGGCCCAACGCTACAAATGAGGCGATAAACAAGTAAATGATTTTTTCTAATCCCAAACAATATAACAAATCAATTCAAAAAATATTTTGATTTAAAATATTTTGATCCAAAGCTACTATGCTGCAATTCCAATAACAAAATGATTCAAGCATGTGATAAACTAAGAAACTATGGATCAAAAAAATGTGAATTACTTATCTAGCCAGATCATGATTTTGTGAATCATCTCATGATCCAAAACATTATTTTTAGGATATGGTCTAAATGTGATATGATCCATAACTTAAAAGGATGGAATGAATCATACTTGGTTGATCCAAAACATATTTTTATGGAAGATTATCCTTTAAAATGTTTAAAACTATGACATTACGATGATCCATAAGAATAATATCCAAACATTTTTTATCCAATGTTACAAATAATGTGATAATAATAAAAAATTATTATGATCCAATCTGCTATGATACAAAGATGTGATCCAAAACATTATAATGCTTTAGTTTTAAATCTAAAAAGATGTGATGATCTTATACTCTACAATGATCCAATTCTAACAGTTGATGCTCCAAAAGAAAATTTCATCTAAAAGTTTATGATCCAAACATTTTATGGTCCAAACATTTAATGATAAAATGTTCCATATATGACATGCTAAAAAAATAAAGGGTTTTATCTAATCCCAAATGATATACCAAATCAATCATGTGATTCAAAAATATTATGTTCCAAAACTATACAATGTTGAATTTTCAACAATAAAATGATTCAACATGTGATAAACTAAGAAACTTTAAACCACAAACATACCTAACCTAATCTTGACAACAAGGTTGCTTGAAAACCTTGAGAAACTTTGCACTTATGAAGTTATTTGATGAAGATTAGACATATTGAAAACCTTGTAAACGTTGGTGTCCCCACTAGTAAAGGTATCTGACTTTAATCAACAATGATGATTAGAAGAACACCTTTAGGAGCCAAAACTGCTATGAATATTGGATATTCCATCACAATTAACTTGACAAAAGTAATATAAATTCATTTTTAAACCCTCATAGTAAACAGTAGAAAAACAACAGTAGGAACTGAGTTTGTAATGGATATTGATATACCAAAGTCACTAATGATGGCAGATGCTAATAAGACGAACCCAAGAGAAAGCATATTCCCTAGATAACAACCTATGATATACGATTTTGAAAGAACCGACCATAAAGCTAAAAAGAGGCCACCATAAACAAAGTTGTACAGACATCTAGAAGCCACCAAACATAAATTTTAGGGCATAAGAGCATGACTATAGAGCTTGTTAAACCTTCAAGTCATCAATAAGATCACAAACAACACCATGATGCCTATATATTTGCATGCCACTGAAAGAAGCACCCAAAGGACATCCACTAAGCACCAAATTGAACTAGGAAGTATGAACACAACTATAAAAATTATGATCTCTCTTAGTCATTTCATCGCTCGCTTGTAAGGCATCATCAAATATAAGTTGGTAACAGTTGTATAATTTTAAAAATTTTCACTACATCTTCTTGAAAACATATAAACCCTTATAAAAACAACTAATTTATTAGATTCATACTATTAATATGATGAACCTTATATTACAATAAAAAAATTTGTTTTTTAACCTAAAAATCAAAAACATGAGTAGATGAAAGAATGAAACTTTAAATCGTGTTTTTCATGAAAAACTACATTGATTCATACTAAACATCAATCTAAAGTAACATGTTTAATTTTAAGAAAAACACAAAATTGTGTGTTAATTGAATTAACCTGTTTTCAAAATTGGATTTTTGTGGAAAAAAAAACAGAACCAAAAAAGATGATGAATTAACATTTCAAATGCAATCAATGGATATAAATATGTAATATCTATTTTAGTTTTACCTTATCGAATCAGAATCTTCATATTATTAGTTGAATTTATGATCAAATGATTTGCTTCGTGATTTACGATCAGATTGATAATTGAAGTAACTTATAGTCCAATCTAATGCATATGTTTTCAGCTCAATCAATCCATTTTAAATTACATGGTTAAACATGAGCCCAAAATCATCCCTTGTTGATTTTGTTTTGTGACAAAAATGCCCTTAATGAGCTCGATTGGTTAAGTCATCGCAGTCCTCACTGAAATTAGTGTCCTCATCAAATCCAGACCTATAAGTCATACGGGTTTTAGATGTTATATGGTTAAGTTTAATGGCAAAAATCTTACAAATTTACGGTAACCAAAAAGTGTGTTAATTATGATAATACCATTTATTATTTGAAAAAACTTAAGTGGTTATATGTCATTTTCCCATATATATAAGTCATAAGATATAAGATTAATTCAAAATTTTTAAATATTTCTAGCACTTATCTATGAAAAGCTTAGAACACTAGGGCTCTCTTCATTCCGTTCTTTACTTATTTACACTTCTTTTATCTCCTACAAAACCCTAAAACAAGAAAATAAACCCATCAGCAATGGCGAAATGCTCACTACCTTCACTCATTCTTCTAGCATTTGCTTTGGTTCAGTCGAACGCCACCCAAAACCACCCATCTCCGCCATCAGCAGCCCCGGCACCGCAATTAACACCATCTTGTGATGTTCTATTGTTCAAGATGATTGATTGCTTACCGTATCTTACAAAAAGATCAAAAATGGCTAAGCCTGTTGAATCTTGTTGTTCGGGTTTTTTAGAGGTATGGAAGCTTGATTTGAACTGCGTTTGTGATGCTTTGAATGGCAGTGTTGAATTAGGATTCCAATTGAACATGACGAGAGTGTTTCATGTTTCTTCTGTTTGTGGTTTCCCACATGTTTCTCTTGACAAATGTTTACGTAAGTTTTTTTCTTCTTTTTGTCGTATAACATAACAATATATATCATTATTCATGTTAATTAGTTATGGATTTAATAAATTTAAATATTATTTAATCTGTTATATATATAGCAATTCCTTCGGTGGCAAAACCGCCGGTTCAAATTATAAAACCATCTCCGGCGATGACTTCAGCTCAAGCGATGACAACGAGTGATGCCGATTCTTTTTCACAATTAAACTTCTTCAAGATTCTTATTAGTTTGGTAGTAATTTTAAATTTTCTAGCACTTAATTTACCAATATAACTTTTTAGATTTTATAGGTTATTTATTTAAGTTTAGGGTTCATAATGTAGATCATTATCTAATTTGTTTATTCAGTTGAATTTTAAAGTTTTGCTTACGGGATTTATATAAACCCATAATTATTTTTTGTGTTTGTTATGTTAGCTTTATCATTTCCAATATATATTTGTTAAAAACTAAGAAGGCAAATTGTTTATTCATACAACAGCTTTATCCTAATTATCGCGCGTAAAAAGTCTTTATATACTACTTATTTTGATGTTTTGCTCTGTGTTAAAAACTTCTCATCCACCCTTATCATCACTGATGATTTTATTTGGAAAATAATTTTATAGTGACATCGAAATGAAAAGAAAATGGTAAAATGATCTTTTAGAATACATTTTATTATATTTAATAATCTAATTTTGATCATTAAACATTACATAATTAGTTTCAAAGTGCAAATCCAAAATAACCTTAATGAATATTACGTTAGATCAATAAGTTTAAATTTAATCATGATCTATGCGGTTTTTTTCTTTGTAGATAAGACCATCCGTTATACTCATCACATACCACATATGTGGTGGGTGTCACATCAGCACCACATTATACTACCACTAAAGTTATCTTCAATGCATTGAACTCAAATGAGTTCAATAGATTGTCACATGTACATGCCACTCACAATATAATTTTATCTATTAAAATCTACACTCCATTAAACCCAATACAATTTAATGGATTGCCACATCATTTATGTATGTGTGTGTGAGGAGAGAGTGTGTGAAGTTCAATGGGGATTGAACTCCCCTTGAGTGTCATGTCATTAACCCACAATGGGGATTTTGAGTTTAATGGGATTAAACTCCTCATTCAACTCTCCATTAAACTACCATTGGAGATGACCTAACATGGTATACCTACCACTAATACACTAATCAACATCATTATTATTTTTTTTTTAATTCAAAAATACAATAAAATTACAGTTTTTTTAATTTAAAAATACAATAAAATTACATTTTTTATAATTAAAAAGCATTCATTTTTTTTAAAACTAGTTTTTTATTAATTATAAAAATAAAATTACAACTTCAAACTACATTACTTAGTTAATCTAGAAAAAAAACATTACATTAATTAAAAAAAACAAACAAACATACATATAAAAAAAAACCTAATCGTCGTTCATGCTACGTTGGTACAAATGTTTCGCGACATCTTCTCGAATATTGAAACATGTTTCACTGTTATGAATTTCAACAACTCGTTCTAAAAACGCATTCGCTCCAGGTACGAACTCATCAATTGGAACGACAACGTCGTTCGGATCATATGTGCAAATCGCTCGACCTTCATCTTCAATAATCATATTATGCATTATAATACATGCTAGGACCATTCGTTTAATTATTTCTTTATCCCATAGTCGTGTAGCATATTTCACTACATGTCATGTCTGCTTAAGGACTCCAAATGCCCTCTCGATATCCTTTCTCGCCGATTCCTGTTTTTTTGTAAACAACTTTGCCTTGTCACTTCGAGGAACCGAGTATCCCTTCATCAATGTAGAATAATCCGGGTATATCCCATCACCAAGGTAGTAACCGTATTTGTACGCGTGCCCGTTCACCGTGAACGTCATATCAGGTGCTTTGCCGATCCAAATATCGTTGAAAAGTAGAGATTGGCCAAGAACATTAAGGTCGTTGTTAGACCCCGCTACTCCAAAAAAGGCATGTCATATCCACAAATCTTGAGATGCAACAGCTTTTAGGATGATAGTTGGTTCACCTATATCTCCTCGAGTGAACTGACCATGCCATGCATTTGGACATTTTTCCCAAGCCACATGCGTACAATCTAGACTGCCAAGCATACTCGGAAATCCATGCCTCTCCTCATGAGCCGAATATAATCTCTCGATATCATGGTGAGTAGTTTGCGCAAATATTCTTCGTGAAAACCTCATAAACACATGCAGAAAACCAATCTACACATTCAACTGCGATCCTCTCGGATACTTTCAAGTATTCGTCAGATGCATCGAATGTTATATCGTATCCCAAATACCTAAGCGCAGCCGCACATTTTTGCATACTACTAAAACTCATTCTTCCTCTAGCGTCGGGTTTTTGTTTGAAAAAATCATAACGAGATTCTAAAGCATTACTAATACGTAAAAATATAGTCTTATTCAAACGGAAACGACGTTCGAATGAGTCGTCATTATAAAGACAATTATCAGCAAAGTAATCACGTACCAATAAGTTGTGTGCGGCTTGGCGATCATGATTGACGACCGCCCTTGTACGAGCTACATTCGAACTTTCTCCGTTGTGAATGTGTTGCACAACATTGAAGAATGTCTCGACGAATTCTACGTCGTCATCCGAGTCAACACTTTTTAAAAATTCCATATGTATTGTGGAACCCATGTATATGTGTTTTGTGGTTTTAGAGAATAGAATGGGGTGTAAATTTTGGTATAATAGAAATTTTATTTATAATTAGTAAATTGAGTTTGAAAAAAAATCGACCAAAATAGTCGTTCAACGGCCAAAAAATCGAACACCCAATCAAATTTCTCGTTTGAATCCGTCGCCGGGAACACGAAGAAGCACGACCACACCCGACCACGGAACGTCGGGGTGGTGGGATCCGTGCTCGTGGCCAACTAGACCACGATTCCATTCGTGGTATGTATACCACAAGGCCTAACAGATTTCTTTGGGTTATAGTTATATTAATAGATTATAACTCGCGTTTAACGTGGGGGAACGCATAAAAAAAAGTACAAGTCATTGAATGATATATTTGTAGACAACTTTTTATGTTAACAAGAATTATATGCATTAATGGGTTAAAATGAATTTATGCAATTCTTCAATACATATATTAAAAAAATAATATCATAAAATAAAATAATAAATGGGTTGACAATTAAAAAAATTAATGTTACATTTGGTATATTTTTCATCAGCCACTGATTATCATGGTGAATAGCATCTTTAACATGACAATAAAAAAAAATAATAATAAAAAGCAGACCCAGATTCATACTGAATAAGAATTACAACTCTCACCTTAAAAATTATAAAATGACACTTGAATGGACAATAAAATAAAATTGGAAACATTCGAATATAGATTAATGGCACAATAACTTTACAAATGTAAAATTATGAACTTACTTGTTATAAACATCAAAAACTCCACCACAACTTTCATTCGTAAGTGGTTCAACATTAGTATAATCATCATTCTTACTTACTTTTTTTTTGAACTGTCACGACAATAAAAAGAATACCATCATTCGTCTAAATCAAAACCGATAACAGTAATAATGATGGACAAACCAATTTTTTATTTCATAACATTTTATATATATATATATATATATATATATATATATATATATATATATATATATATAATATTTTTCATATATATATTCATCGTGTTATGCGCCATAAATTTATAAAATTAATGGAAAAATATTAATATTGTTATGCATACCTCATTGTAATATAGAATATCATCAATGCTCTTGATTGGAACACAGGGTAGTAATCATCTACCTTTGTCACAACAGTATCGATGTTAAGTTGTGTAGTACTAATGGAAAACTTAGCTTTCAAATCCAAATCAGCAATACTACATATAAGAAGAAAAAAATGAAGAAATTAAAAAATATAAATAATTAATGATTAAAAAATAAAGAAAAACAAACATTAAGCTATTCATTAATGATAAAAGACATACTTTTTTGAATTTTAAAATGTGAGAAATGTTATCATTAATATGCAATCTCTGCTAAAACAAACAGTTACCCACTGGAGGTTGACCTGTAAAAACAATTAAAGTTATAAATTAATTTATCTTATAAATAAAATATTAATGTAATGACATGGAAATTTATAACAAAAAAATATTCTTACCACCCCAAGTTTTGAGCTTTGTCATATGTATGAGGATGATAACACCTCCATTATCGTTTTGATGTAAACAAATCATTTTACGATAAGTATGTATAATAATG